TTCCATAATGTCAGCATTTGAATGTTACATGATTAATTACAATGGTACAGGACATGACATCATCTCTTCCTCACTCTTATTTATTGCCCCCCTACAGAAAGTTTAGACTGGTGGTTAGAATTCAGTTTATTACACTCAGAAATTTGCCCTTCCTAAGGAGGCCCAGAAAATATACTTCTTAGTATTTCCAAATCATAGCACGAAATCTGTGGAAGAATATAATACTAAGATCTTAACTTGTGTAACCTAAAATGGCAGCATTGAAAGCATAACTCACCATATGCAGCTTCCAGTCTCCCTGTATTTAATTGTATTAAAGTATTTGTAGCACTGATATCACTTTTTTTTTTTCAAAATGTTCTTAGTGTTTTAGGGACTGTTCCTACTCTCCCTACTGTAAATGGCAAAACTACCAACAGTTATAAATGGAATTATAGTACCGGCACTTACATCATTGGGAGCAATAAAGAACCTTTGTGCATGGGGTAAAGTGATTGTTTTGAGGGAGAGGGTGTTATACTACTGCTTTCTTCAATATTCAGTATTCCTTTTATCCCGAACATCCGCTACAGAAAGAAACCTAAATTCCAAACAACAATCTTTAGCCCAGATTTTCAAACCAGCACACCAAAATCTAGGTTCCTTAATCCATATTTAATTTCCCGTGGCCTGGTTTTCAGAACTGCTGAGCTCCCACAAGTCCCACTAAAGTCAATGGCAGCTGTAAGTACTCAGCACCTTTGAAAACCATTCCACTTGCATTTAGGTGGGTTCCTAAATATAGATTTAGGAGCACCCAAGTTTGAAAATGTTGGCCTTAATGCACAATATGAGGACCTAATCCTGCAAACTCTTACTCACATAATCAATGAGACAACTCATCTGAGTAAGAGTTTGCAGGACCAGATCTCAAAATAGTGCTAAACTGTAAACTGCAAACCTACCTGCTTACATTAACAGTGGGACTGCTATAGGTTAAACTTTAGGATTTAAGGGTATTGAAAATCTAAGACCAATGTAGAACAGTTTTGTCTGAGTAATTTGTTCTCTGATAGTATTATTGCAACTACGATACATAAAGGAACATTTCAACATGAAGCTAGAAAAGACTTAGCCACATAAGTAAGTTTGAAAATAATCTTTTTTTCTTGCTTTATTTTACTTACTATATTTCTCAGTGAAACTATATTGTGTCTGCCTGTCTTTAGTGTAGGCTTTATTGTCAAATTGTAATTCTTTTTGCTTTCAAATTGCATGATTATTCTGTATTTATCCCTCCAGATACATAATGTGACCATTTCTCTTCCTTATTTTTATATCATTTATAGCTACTATAGTTTTGAATTCATAGCCCCACTTCATTAATTGGCTTGATATAAAGGCTTCTTTTACATATTTGAATGGAATTTTTGCTCAGCAAATTACATCTCTATATAAAACAACATCTTTATTAAACTGTAAGAAAAAATTAGGAATAAAAATAAAACCATACGTCACCATCTGATATTCTATCAACCAAAAAGTACACTCTTGTCTACATCTAAATATCCCTGTAGGTGTTATATAATTTTAATACATTCTATATATTTTGTATTTTTTTTCTCTGTTGTAGCATGTCTGATTTCTTTAATTCCAAATTTTTAAAAAATGTTAAGGCACCAACCATGGGAGTAGATTTAGTATGATTTTCATTATAAGTTCAATAATTAAACTTTAAGCATGACATGAATATCCCATTGTTTTAAAAAGTTTCTTTTGGAATAAACAATCATGATTCATATTGGTATAACAAAATTTCAAACAAAAAAAGTGGAAACGAAAATGTGTTTTTATAGAAAAGAAATTCACGTTTAAACAAACATGGAGGAAAGGGCAAAACTGTTTAACAATGGATTTTTTTTCTATCAGAACAGATTAGAATTTGAAATCTCAATAGCAAGATTTAAAAAGAGATTGGACATTTATATAGAGAAGACAACACCAGACAGAGTTATCATAATTAATAACAAAAAAAATTGGAAGAGATATTAAACATCGGGAGTCAGGGCTTTAGCCCATCTCTAACTAGTAAAGTTCAGGAAGAGACCTAATGTGGGGGTAGATTAACCCACATCTGCCTATCACAAGGTTCATCCACTTTCCTCTGAAGCATCTGGTTGACCCATCAGAGACACGATATTGGACTACATGGACCTTTGGTCTGATCCAGTATGGCAATTCCTATGTTTTTCTGTCCCTAATGGGAACTTCAGTATTTCCTAATTCTTGTCAGTGTCTTGTGTAATTTGTAAGGTAGAAAAATTCTCACAATCATCTGGATCCAACACCACTTTCTGATCTCTAACTCTTCGAAAAAGCTTAACCCTGCATTCCTTACTTAGAGGCAAATTCTGCTTGCCTTAGTTGTTGAAGCCAAAGAGAATTTTGCTTGATTAAAGTGAGCAGGATCTGGCCCTCATTTCTCAGGCTGGAATAATTGTTATTGACTTAACTGGGATCACAATATGGCACTCAGACCTTACTCCAGCAACCTCCTCATAGATCTTAATGAGAAGAAGATATGGCCTTCATGCCAACCACATTATAACCCCACTGCAGTCAATGGCATTTATGTCAGAGTGAGGATTGAGAGACAGATCCTGCTCATTTTATTCAGGCAAAACTCCCATTGGCTTCAAAAAATACAGTAAGCAGAATGTGGCCCTAGGCAAGGAACATTGGGTTTAGCTTTAGCTTTAGCTCATTTGTGCTAGATCAAAACCAGAAAGTGTTGAAGTCAAAAGGAGCTTTGCATGAAGAAGGACTGAGGGCCATGTCTTCATCCCACTGAAAACATTCAATGGGACCACAATTTGGAGTTGGAATGCAGAATTTGACCCTAATATAATCCTGCCAATAGCTTTTATTGTGATAATTTTAATATTGTAGTATTTTTAAAAAAATCCAATGCCAAATGTTACATGATTTGCTTTAAGCAAAAGCAAGTATATTGTACAGATTACTATTCTAATCTGCATTAATTTTAAAACCAAATATGATTATTGTTGTGTTATCTGTCTTCATGTTTTCTATAAATGTCCCTTTATGGTTTTGTTTTTAGTATGTATAAAAAAAATGCAAGAATTATGGAATATATCAATTCACTTCATCTCATTAATCAGCTACTTGATAATGTTTTTCTTGCAATGTAGTGGAAAGTAAAATGAAGGTTCTTTTTTATAACGTCCAAAATTAAATTCCTATTCCACAATGTTTATATTTCATGTGCAAAATTACCTGATATGTTTAGATATCTGACTTCAGTTCTTTAATAAATTGCTTCATTGGCAAAATGTTGCATTTAAAATTTAGAATCTAAAATGAACTACTTATGTTTTCTTGATATGAAACAATTTTTAAGTTCACAGTAATTTTACATATGACGCATTTAAAATATTAATATTTCATATGTATTATTCACTGACTTCCAGGTGTCATAGCAAGTTAGTGACTCTTCATATTTCAAAGGAAGAATTGTTTCTTTTTTCAATACTAATGTTCTATTAATTCACTTTGTAATATCACTCCAGTTCAGGCAAACAGAATTGCACTAAATTACTTATGCCAAAAATCATGCTGAAGTTGCTGACATTATATAAAATTTCATTTTCCATTACTATTTTATATGGTCTTATCTTGTTAGTGTCTTTTTCAAGTGCAATACATGGCCCTCATTAGTTAGTTTTAGAAACACAGGTATATACATGAACATTTATATGTTGAGATGAGAGTACATGTGGATATATATTATACATTCTATCAGTTAAGTGGATTTTACAGAGTGAAACTTCCAGTAAATTACATGTAAATATTCTTTATGAACATGCTGGTCTAATTTACAGTTTCTTTGGTGGAGCATCAACAGATCCAGTTACTGTTGTTTTTTCAGTAACTTAGTGTGATTTTCTGTTCCAGCATGTGTTTTAAAATATATAAAAGGCAAATCAACTGAGAACTTTCCTGTTATAAAGGCCTAAAGGCAAACAGCTTCCTCATCAAGTCCAAAGAAAGGCAAAAATTCTGGATGTGAAAAGAGAACCTATTTATGACCCTGTAACATTCATATTCTTCATATAAAGATCACATGGCTACATAACTATCCCCAAAGATATGGTGGAAAACATACCTGGAGATGCTGAAAAGCTTTAATCAGTGAATCGGCAAATAATTATCAAATGCCCTTCAGCAGTGAGATAATTACAAAGCACTGGATCCAGAATAGTGAACAGTAGTGAAATTACTTATAAATAAATGTAAAGATCTAAAAATATACATGGCTAGTTGTCTAACCAACTCTTTCTGAATGTCATCAAAATCAAACCTTGCTATAGGTAGGAATGCAGTTCCAAGGTTATTCATAACTAATCTTCAAGGAAGACATATTAATATATATATATTAAGTATATGCTCTGAACTTTCAGTTTTGCTACATTGTTTAGTATAGTACAGGTAAGGTCTCCCATATTGGTTTAATTTCTGCCATGTTTTCAATTTGGAATTTAATAAATCTGAACATTTTAAAAAAAAACAACAACACTTGATCCAAATCTTTTAAAATAAACAAATAAACCCCTTCTCGTTTGTGACCACAACAAAACGATTTGGATGACAGTAAGACAGTAAACAACATGAGAGTCTCTGGGTCTGTAGTATGGAACAGTCTTCTATTTCTATCAATTCTTCAGACGCCAGGATTTTGACATATAAACTAGACCCCCAACTCCAAATTAACAACAGAAGTAAGACACCATCATATAGACATACAAAGTCAAATGCTCTCTTTTCTGTCTAGCCCACCTAAAATATTAAAAGAGCCAGAACAAAGCAAGTGCACATCAAGCTAGAACCAATTAAGGAAACGAAATGTATTTACAAACACACAGGGAGACAGAGGGAGACACACACATACAACTTACTGAGCATACTGGAAGGGATGGATTTTCTCCCCCAGTGATACTTACCTTAGGAGTGCTCGCAGGAAGGCACTGGGTTAAAGTGTAATCCCCTTTGATATTTTTGATCCAGTTTCACGCGGAGTAGCGGGGGGAGGGAGAGGAAGTAAAGAGAGTGCAAGAGAAAAATCAAACTTGGGTACCAAATTATAGATCAGTTAGTGGCGGAGGAGGGGGGGTGAAAAGACATAATTACTGACAGAGTCTGGACACCCCACGCCTCCCCCCGCACTGGGGGCTGACTGAGTGGGCAAGGGAGGCAGGGCGGTGAGCCAGGCGTGCTGGAGCGGTGCAGGGCTACCCCCCCCTTCCCACCCCTCAGCCTTAGCGCAAAGCTACAGCGCGGCGGCGGAGGAGAAGCAGCAGCCGCAGCTACCTGGGAGCAGGCGGAGCCGTCGTGCGCAGCGCGGGGCTGGGCGAGCCGGAGGGGCCGGCCCGGGGGAAGGGAGCCGAGGGCTGCCGCCAGTCGCTCCGCGCGGCCAGCCGGTCCCCTGGGTGCCGCAGGCGGGCGGCGCTCGGCTGCCGGAGGCGAGAGGGAGCCGCGCAGGGGCGGGGGAGCGGGGCTGTGGGTGTGCGCGCGCCCCGGGGGCTGCTGCTGCTGCTCCCTCCTTCAGCCTCCCCCCGCCCGCTCTGCCTCTCTCGCCACGGCCGGCGGCTCCCGTTTGGCAGCGGAGAGGAGCGGGACTCGGCAGTCGTCGCCCCCCCGCGCCCGCCCCAGTCCTAAGGAGATGCACTAGAAAGCGGGGAGGAAGGGGCTGGGGGGGGGGGGGGATTGGGCTCCTGCAACTGCACCAGCCCAAGTGGGAGCCAAGGCTGGAGAATCGATTGCGTCATTTAGGGGGGGTTGCCCCCCTTTTTCTTCCCCGAGCCGGATTGATCTACCTGCCAGTCTGTGCAGCTCTCCCCATCCAGGTGCCGCTGCTGCGCCGGTGTCAGTCCGTCCGCAGGGCTCGGGCGGGGGGAGTGGGGACCCCGCGCGGTAGGTGGCTCGGGCAGGGGGGGAGCAGCAGCCAGCCCTTGTCTTGCGAGGCTCCGGGAAGGGTCAGGCCGAGCCGATGAAAGCAATTAAGATACATCTGCTGTGTTTGCCTTTCCGCCGTCCTCCTCCCGCCTCGCGCCCGTGTGAGCCGTGAAAAGCTGCCAGCTGACGGGCGGCTTCGCTGCTACAGGATCGCTTGCGCCGCGGTGGATCCCACAGCAGCACATTTTGTCCGTGCAGCTTGGCTTCAACGCACCCCGGCAGACTAAAAAAAAAAAGGAATTCATTGGTGCTTGGAGGTTGCTATTTTAATTGCAGGGTTGTTGTTGTTTTTTTGTTTGTTTGTATGTTTTTTCAAAAAGTTGCCCGTGTGCTGGAGAGGGGGAAGGATGCTCCCAGATCCATCTCCTGGTGCCCAAGGCGTGTGTTGAAAGTGTTAGCCGTCCACTTTTGCATTGCACGGTGGGGTTCATTGAGCCCACTGTCGTTTCTCCTACTTCAGCTACAAACAAACTTTTCTTCTGCAGAGAGGAAGTAGCTGGGGCTGAGAACCTGAAGGTAGCGAATCCCTAGCGGCTTCCCTCGAGCTGCACTGACCCCAGCACACAGGCGAAGGAGCGGTCTGTAGGGCCTGTTTATAACTGACAGACAGTGAAGCATGCCGTACATTTTAGACAAAATAACAGCCTCGGGAACAATTCCCCTCCCTCCACCAACGGCTGCTTATCCCGGCATTGTTTCCTTCTGTAACTGATCCTCTCTAAGAATGTTTAAACTCAGCTTCAACCATTCAAGTCTTTTTTTCCCCATAGTGTCAATATTAAAAGTGTACATTTCCCCTAATGAGATGCAGATCATGAGAATCTATTACTGGGGCCCATTTTGACTTCAGATATATGAGAGAGAAAATCCACTACCTAAATGAGTTTATTATATCGATTCTGTAGGGTAATAACCTATGGATGTTGCAAATAGTAGGGGGTGTTTTGTTTTTCATATGGTATATAGTGATGAGTCTGTCAGACTATACACTGCTTGATCTTTTATATATATAATATACAATATTTCATACACACACGCTGATGATACCTTAGGTGTTTGAGGGTGGGGGACACAATATCTTATACATTTGAAGTTTTTATCAGGCAGAGCAGATTACTTTAAGCGTTCAATTTCTCAGCGATCCAATTTTATTAGGATTTACTATCATTTGTGTTGTGCATCCCTGGGGAAATAATGCTTTGATTAATGTAATCCTGGGCTGGGATCCGCCACATGCCCCTCTCCCAGGAGAAGAGCCCTATTTGACAAACAAAAACAGAGCCGCAACTATTGCAATCTGCACTCACCTTTAGAAGGCACAAAAAAATCCACCCCTCTCTCGAATACAATAGCAGCATTTCAAAACAATGTGAACTCGTATTAATTTACTCTGAATGCTCCTGATTCAGTGTGGGCTGTCCAGTCCAGCCCTCAACCTCAAAGACAGCCCAACGGATGCTCCTCTGTTCCCCACAGAGAAGCAAAAGCATCTCTGGGAAGCCTAGTGCCTCTCTGTAGATCTGCCTCTCCTTGGTCTCTCAACATTTCTGCCTCTTTGTTTCCCACTGCAGGGCTTGCTGCAAACTGTTTTCAACTCTCCTCATTCAATCCAGCAGCCAGAGACCTATGAAGCTCTGTCATTTCATGAGATTCAGTCACACATACCTGAAGCCATATATACCTCTCAAACCGGGGCAATGGTAAGCAAACCACAACAAAGTGCTCTAAGCAGTTCAAAGGGGAGGTAGTGGGGCCCCAGAAAACAGCCTTGTACAAAAGATCTTGTTAAATAAGAAGGAAACATTCCACCTTTGTTATTGTTTCAATATCTAGATTTTTTTTCTTTTGTTTTGGAAAGTGCTTTTCTCCCCCAATGCGGAGCAATATACTTTTAAAAGGCCTAATGAAATAAGCAAACCAAGATCAGAACTAAACCTGCTTTCCCTTCCTTTGTAACAGTAGGTGAACTGGCCTGTAGTCCCCCCACATCCTGAAGCACGTTATGGGCAGCTGAAATGGTAGTGCAATGTTTATCTTATTCCACCATAACAAAGCAGGTCTCATGGTGCCTGAAGAGGAGATCCAGTGACAAAGGAGGGCTCTGGCTGCGGTTTTGCCACTTTATTCAAAGTCTGGATTAATAAATCCAGGCTAGGGAGGAGGGCTCTCAAGCCTGAAGATAGGGGATGCGATTTGCACCAGGGTTTTCAATAAGATGCCAGCATCTCTCTCGTGTTTACCCAATGACCGCATTACAGTGACTCAGCATTTACGGTTTCTTTAGGTGTTTTTTTTTTCCCCCTCTTCTTTTCTTTCCTGGTGAAAAACGATGCAATTACATTTCTGCATGCTGATCTGAGCGTTCGAATAACAAGCTTTAAACGCGTTATCAGACGCTTGTTAAAGGGAGTGGGGGTGCTGAGAGAAGAGAGAAATGCTGCATTTTTTTAGAAAGAAATTTAAATTAAAAGCAGCTATAGACAGAGCTCGGCTGCAGCTCCGCTTCAATCAATGCACCGAGGCAGATTAGGAGAAAGTCTCAGTCAAAAAGCGTAAATCACGCAAGGGAAAAGTTAGTTAGAATTCATTCCTGTCTTTTGCGAGCATAAAATGACTTTCCTATGTGGGATTCACTCAGTTTGCCTCACATCCCTCCCTTCAACAGTATAAAATTGTTCTTTACATTTTATTTTTAAAAAGTGGATCTTTAATAAACCACTGTTTGTGGGCGTGTTTGTTTGATCATTTCAACCAAACAGTGTAAAAGGCCCAAAACTCACCATTGCTACTATTGTTATGGTAGGTTCCTTGCTTCAGAGATTGCAAAATTGTAGTGGGAAGTATACAAATCCATGTTAGGAGCTCAGGATCTCCTCCTTCACAACCCCATCAAGCAACAAGAATTTTTAAAAAGTAGGATCAGAGGGTTGAATTTAGGGAGGAGGTTGCAAAGAAATGATGAACGATGTTAACTTTTGACTGTAGGAGTCATGATAGAGTTGAGTGTAGCTTCAGGGAAATAAATCATTTAATCCCAGAGCTACTGAAGTCCCCTTTTCAAACATTTTGAGGCTTGAAATCATACTGCTGTAAAAGCGACTGAGTACTTAAAAGTATCAAACATCAAGAAATGTAGATATATTAGGAATGGATCCAAAATGAGAAAAAATAACCACGCGATCATGAAAATATCAACCAGATTATATCTCCCAAGGAAAACAACAACAACAACAACAGCATCAGCAAAAATGTAGCTCTTGCATTCACTAAAGGAGAATAGACAGCATGTGCATGTTTGTGTGAAATGCCAAAAAGAGCAGCCTTAAGCTTGACCTACTGCAATCTGCACTGAGCTCCTCAGACAATAGACAAGTTCAAATGTCAAAAAATCTAATAATAAAAAACAGAGCTGCCAAACTGCACGAACTGTTTTCTGGTGTACCACAATTATTCACCCTCTTATCCACTAAGAGACTGCCAGTCTTATGCGCGTAAAAGAAAATCTATGTAATGCATATAGATTTTTTTTAAATGTGAAATGCGATTGAGATGGCCAGCAAGCAAATCAGAATATGTCTAATGAAAGCAAGGCTAAGGTTTCCACAGCCTTTGAAAGACGCTAACTTGTAAATCCTTTTTTACGTTGCTACATGAACAATTATTCTTATAAATAAAAATCTACATGTTTGAGGAGCTAGGTTGTAACTATCTATCCGGAGAATTTTAAGGGAGGTGGTGACATTAAGTTTCATATGCAATGTGTCTACATGGAACTCAAGCCAGCAGATAGATTATTCTATTCATTTGAGAACTTTCATTACTATGCATGTTAGGTGCACCCTAAACACAATAGAGTGTATAATATCAGAAATGTGCTGTTCTAAACGTACCTATATTTTCAAATATATCTTAATTGTATGTGTAGTACTGTGTTATGTTACTAATTTATTACAGAATCAGAAATTATTTATTACCCTAAACAATAAATAAGGTTCATACTGGAACCTTCACAATTAAATGTATGGATAAAAGATCATCCTGCCTATTGTGTATCTCCTTGTTACTGTAAGCCTTTAGAAGTAATATGTATATTTTCCTCTTTTCTCCAGATTGGCTGGTGTAATATCTCTTGTTCAGCTATCAACGCTTATATGAACTACTATATGGGTAAGGTTTAAAAACAGAGCAAATCACATTATCCAGGAATGCTACAAATCTGGAATCCAGTCAACTCCACCTTTTCATCTGACTGCTCTATTATAAAGGAAAACATTTTACATATAGCATACTGTATATGTAGCATGTCTTTGTTTAACATTTTAATTTGTAAATGCTAATTAGGCAGTTGCTCTCCACAATTATATTATTACACACCTAATCATTCTCGAATATAAGTAGATGAATACTAAATACAGTAAAAAGCCACTTTGTATTTCCCAATACCTCGGCACTGTTCTTCATTTTGCAAATGAGTCTTTCCGGACAAAATAATAATAATAATAAAAAAACTCTTTGTAGCTTTGTTTTAATTGTCCTGGTATTTAAGGCATAAACGTGGCGGTCACATCCAAATAATATCTTTAACAGCCAGCATGGAAAGTAACTCTATCAAATTAACTTGTTGCTCGTTTTAAGTGTTAATGTTTTCTATTTGCTTTTATTCGCTTCTACGTATACAGACAGTGAGTCATACAGGAATAAGACTGAGGAGTTGACCTACTAGAATTGTTTTCTTGGACTATAAATTCAAGTTGCATTTGAGGTAGAAAAAAGACAAAGCACGAACTGCACTAAAATGCAATATTTTTCAAATATGGAATATTAACCATCACTGGCCTCTCTAAACTCAAAATCCCGTGGTCATATGTCCAAAAACTGTTTGATAAACAATGCTAAATCCAAGATTATGTGGTGACGCTTGTGAAGAAAATTGCACTCTAGATATGTACCCTAATAGTCTTGGAAATAGTCGTTGCTTTCTTTGGCAAATGCGGTAAGGTGGGAAGTTTTAGTCCTGTAAATATCTCCATGTATTTTCAGTCATGTTCAATACACGGCAAGGCTTAACTCAGTTGTAAAAGTGAAGGCATGTGAACATTTTGCACATGGCAAAAAAGAGAAATGTCTATTTTTTCATTGTTTCTTTTGCTGTTTACTTCTCTCTATTATGTTTTTGACCAGTGACTTAGCTTTCCACCAGATACCACATTTATGGGCAATACTATTTCCAGGATTTAATTGGTCTTTATATTGTAAAGACAAAGAATAAAACTTGCAGTCACACTGAAACTGACGAAGTTCTAGTTGGAGAGAACCTGTCTTTACCGCCTGGCAGAGATTGTTATGGTTATGCATCAAACGTGCGCTTGCCCCACCAGCGCTTCCTGGCACTTCCCCTTTTACAGGTGTTTAGCTGGTGCTAAAGGAATGTTAACTTGCTGGTGTGCATATAGATATACAGATAGACCTTCATAAGAATAAACATATGTACTTATCAATAAAATCACAGAAGTAAATTACTTACTTATGTGTCCCATGCAGCCACCTAGAAAAATAACTAACAGGAATGGGCTCCTTGAGCAATATGTTAAGACTATGTACAATATGTTTGCAAAACGACAGAAAATCTGAGCAGACACCGAAGTTAAGATTATTTTATGTCTGTAAATATCTACAACTGGAACTTCTTGTGTAGTTTTTGCATGTGTTTAGTGACACGGACTTCAGATGATCTAGATTGTTAACATAATGTTATTTTATAGCTACATTCGAGATAGTGAAGTAATTGAAAGAGAGTGAGTGGCTACTTTATCGGGAACATTGCAGATACTTCTGAAGGTTTAAAATGGCAATTAAATATTACATGATGTAAAGACACCCTGGATTCTCTTTGTTGTATCTGCAGCGGTTTAAAAGCTTTATTTGGACAAAGTCTGTGTGATACATTAGGTTACCCTGAAATGATGTTTTTATTTATTTAACTGATTTCACTTACTTGGAGGTCTTAGCTCACTTTAAGATAATGCACCAAATTAACAACTTTTAGGATGGCTTTTTAACTATTAGTCAAACTGTAAAGCCCAATGTAGAATCTTGTGTTTCTATCTTAGCGGTGTGACAGTTCTATTTGGACTTAAGTCTGTTGTATTTAGGACATAAATTTACTTTAGCCTCTTTATCCACCCCACGAGTTCACTATTTTGATGTCACCATTTATATAACTATATAAAATATCATAGACACATATAGTTTGGAGAGGGCATTTGTTCCTCTGACAACTCTGGAGGAATAGAATTGTTGTTCAATGTAGTAGCGTTTTACTCACCAGGTTCTGAGCCGCATCAGTGCGCCCCCTGCTGACCATCAGTGCTCTCACTGAGCACTTCAAAAGTTTATTTTGTTCTGCAAACCGTATCATATAAAATTAACGACAACCAATAAAATTATCTTATATGTTTCAACTGTAAAAGTCCAAAACAAAATAAAGCTAGTTTTAGTGAAGCTAGAAAGCTCTGGTTTGGCTTCGTTCTCTTTGGCTGAACGAGGGTCCTTTTATCTAAAGCCCAGTGCACAAACATATAGCTTAATGTGACTAGTGTTCTTCCTTTTATTTCTTTCTCTATGGCAACCAATATGTTCTGCTCAGAAATGTTCCCCCATCAAGGAAACAAATGATCTTGAGGGAGCAGCTCTATACGGCATCTGTTCCAATGGAGAACACAGAGTTAACCCCAGTCAAAAGAGACGCTGAGACCGTCATCAAGAAGTGGAAAATGAGCGATTCTTCTCCCCCAAAATTGAAACCTATACCTCCCTAGTTTTACAAGTCATTTTATTGATTTGAGTATCGACCGTTTCCAAAGAAGTAACTAATTCTAGGGAATTACAATGATCACGAGCTGTTGTGTATCCAAAAGAGCAAAAGAGTGCAAATAAAATAAAATTAAAATAAATGAAAGTAATGCAATGGATATTTAAGCCTGGGTAAAGTTTTCAGTAGGAGTACCTGGCCTACTAATTTCACCTTACATTATTTATCACATTATTTATCACACTCACCTAAACGCTGTAAAAGAGTTTCAGATCATTAGACTATACCTCTCAATTAGATGGGAATTCAGGGAAAGTGGATCTAGGGACAAGGAAAACTGTCAGAAATGAGAAACAAAGTGAAATCTGGTTTGTAATGCTCAAGCCACAATCTCCTTTGAGAATAAAATGAAGGGATGTCCTGGTTAGTTTTGATTGATTATACTCTTTCTGATGGACTTTCACTACAGAGCTCTAGATGTTGTGCTTAACCGTCTGTTCCCTAGTTACAATATTAACCCTGTGTATGCACCATAGCTCTCCTCCTCCTTCTCCTCTTCATCTTCCTCCCCCAGCACCGGACTGGTTTATTTCACTCCCCAGCTCTCAGCAGGTGTCCACTTCTCTACTTTTTGCCTTGCCCCTCAGCACACTACTGCTGTTCAAAGCTGATTTTCCCCAGTCATCGGAAGAGATTCTCCTGAAGAAACATTTGAAAACAATAAATATTTATAATCCTTCACACTTTAGAATCCATAATATTTTCTAGGGCTTTTTTCCCCCCTGAGTGCTACAATAATTAACAGTGCCCAGAAAAGTGAAGTAGTAACCAGAAGACTTTCCAGTACTAAAGAATTGCTTTACTGCCTTGAGCTTTGGAATGAGCTTTTTATGTAATATTTCACTAAGGCGGTTTTTTGTTTGGGGGGTGGGAGGGCGCTGGTGATTTTTTTTTTTCATTAGGCTTGCTTCCTTCCAGAGAGTTGCCATGGGTTCCCTGTCTTTTCCTAAGCTTTTAAAAATAGATTCACAGGACTTTAAATAAAACAAAAATAGAGAAAAAAATGAAAAACACTTACCGACCAGACTTCCAGGATTTAGAGGGCTTTTTTAAAATTTTGTAATTTTTTTTTGTTTTAATAAGGTGACAGGGGAAAAACCATGTTCTCAACTCCAGCGAAACGATCCATGCTAAGATTTTCCTTTGCACTGACTCCACTAAGCCCAGCTCTCCACTTGTCTATTATTTTCACCAAAATATATGAAAATTTATGCAAATGAAAATCAGCACTAACTGTTCTCCCCTTGTTATACTTTGGATTTTTTTTTCCAGACAAAACAATCACACTCTGCAAGGGAGGGGGTGGGCGAGAGTTGAGGAACTAAGTTGTTGTTGGCTGTTGTTTTTTGTTTTGTTTTTTGTTGTTTTTTTAATAAAACACAAAACTCCAACACAAGCTTATTTTTTGGTGTGCGTGTGTACAATATTTTTAGGATTTTTTAAAGAATGTAGATCTGTTTGCAGAGGCGCTATCACGTTTCATCAGGCCACCTGAGACGGCTTTTGAAAGCGTGTACTGTGAAATTCATAGCAGTAATTTAGACAAAATCCTCACTGTATATTAATGAAAGACGGCCCCATGGCACCGTTCCTATCCTCCCCATTCAGTGTAAACAAAACCACGAGACTCACTCGGTTTTTGAGCCTGATCCAAGCAAAATCGGCTGGAAAGGAAAACATGGGGTTCTGGCACTGACTATTCAAACGTCTGCACCTGGAGATCTCAGATTTATTCAATGAAATCTGTGTTAGATCTTTTATACATATAAAATGAAACCTTTGGAGGACGCATGGGAACAAAAAAAATCGTTACGTTTAGGGTTTAGTTACCATTACTCTTCAGATCTGTATACTTCACATTAATGGTTTTTCTAAACCTACCTAAGATGGTATCTTTCACCATGCAAGCAAGGACCTGGACAGGGTCCTAAATAAATTCTGCTAGTCTACAGTTAATCTTCAAATCACGCAAATGCTGCATACTTGCTATTGGGGATGTAGTCTGTGCTAGAAGATGAATTCAACTAGCTGAATTTTGTGGGGGAAATTATCAACTGAAAGAGGGGAGCGTTATGTTTCACATTTTAATGTAAACATAATGCATTTTTCTATCCATAGGCGCGCGCACACACACTATATGTGTATATGCATTATACATGACGGATAGGTAGCCTGTATGGATTACACAACACAAACACAATCATTAGTAAAGATGTGTTCCTTGAATGTCCGAATTGTGTTATTTCATTGGAAATCCCCGAGGAGTGTTCAATTTGCCCTTGTTTTGGTTGCCACTTTCTCTTTTTTCTTGGTTCACTGAGGTTGCCTGTGTGCAGCGTTTCCGCTTGGTCGCATCTCTCTCTCTCTCTCTCTCTCTCTCCTTCTCCTTCCCCCGCCCCCCTTAACTCTTTCAGCTGGACTAGAAATAATAAAACGTTTCATACAACCAGATCGGTTTCCTGCGAAATACCAGCGTTTGCAGAATAATAAAAAATAATGGGGAAAAACCCATATATATATATGTATACTGATATACGTATATCAGTAGGAAATGGGGACAGGGGATTGTTTGGTGGATCTAGAGCAGGATTCAATTTGGATTTTTTTATGATGAGGATTCAGGTTTAACATATTTTATAATAATAC